GCAAGAAAAAAACCTTGATTAGTTATAATTGTAAGTTTAGAGACTGTACTGGGAGTAAGTTGTGACCACAACATACTTTCACAGTGGAAAACTTGATTGAAATACTTTTTGAGGAAGAAACCTGCCATGTTCAGCAAATACTAGCTTCAATTAAAATGGCTTATTTTCATATGGAGAGTGTTGATAAACCAAAAGGAAACTTCTTAAAACTGCCAGTTTCCTTGTTTTCAGCCTTTATGTTTTTGTATGGCCACATCACTGTGGTAACAGAAGGCTTTCTAGTAGCACAGTAGCAATAATGAACACAAGTTTCAAAAATTATTTTTCTCTTCTTCCATGACCACGCAGCATAATGTGGTTTGTTTGTTTTTAACTTGATTTTTAATGGAATATATTTTTCCTGTAGTTATCCTTTATGTTACGAAAGACATGGTTGAAGAATTTCCTCAAGACAGTGAGCCTTCTTATAGTTTTAGATTCTGGAATGAATGCACAGAAATGAAAAACTGACCTCTGAGAAAGTTGTCTTCTGCATAGACAACTTCAGTTCCTGTGATAAAGTTCATCTGTAGGTCCTCTTCATCTGGAAGATTAATGTGCAGAGCAACTTAATATGGATGTTGCATTTTGTTTGGTAACAGTATAATGCACAACACTGATTTTGCTTTTACTGACAAAAACATGTACCAGTCGCAGCTCAGCTGTATGATGTGGTGTTTCTTGTGTAGAGATAGTTGAGGCTTGAATATGGAATAAGAACCACTGATTCAAAGTGACGTTTTCCACAAAAATAAGTGTATTGTGGGTTTTTTGGTTTATTTCCCTTACTCACTTAAGTACTTTGCGACAGGGAAATCTTAGAACCCTTTCCCTCTCTCTTGGTGGCTGACTCTATGAAATGCAATTTATTGATTGTCCCTGACAATCCCAATAAAAGTCTTTAAACTGTAGTTTATGGTAGAAGTATTGGCCAAGTAGTCTAACAGATTCTGATCCAACAGGTTGTAGTTGTTGATCCTGAAGAATGAGCTGTTATTAGTTTTAAGGCTTCCCTTCCTGTTGCCAACTTATACTAAGGTTTTCCTATGTTTTATGCTTTTTAGTTGTTTTTGTTTGGAAGCCATGTTATTACATGAACCACTGTTCGTGCAAGCAAGCGATAACGTTCTAGAAAACTTCAAAGAATGTCCTGTGCTACAAAAAGGTGTTCCAAAATGTCAAGAGTGATTTTTATTATTTATTTTTTATTTGGCTTAATGTAAATAATTGCACTTAAGATTGCTTGTTTTCTTATTTTTCAGGTCATACAGGACATACTGCTGATATGAATATATTTTTAGATGATCCAGAGTTTGCAGAAATTATTCTGAGAGCAGAACAAGCTATAGAGTGTGGAGTTTTTCCAGAAAGAATCTCTCAAGGATCCAGTGGGAGTTACTTTGCCAAGGATCCAAAAGGGGTGAGCATGTTACTGCAAAGTGAGAGACAATATCAGCAAAGAGTTTCAAATGGAAATTTAAAAATTCTATTTAAATGGAAATTAATTTAAATAAGTTGTTTAATAATTTATAGTATGCCAAAATCTATGTTGGAAAAATCAACACAAGTAATATTTAGATTTCTAATCACTTCTTGCAGCATAAGCTAAGCCAAAATAACTATTAATTCTCTGTTGCAGTTTTACTATGTTTTGAATGATCTGCACCAAATAAATAAGGAGAAAATAAAAGGGCCTCTTTAACATCTGAAAACAATTCAGGGATTCCTTTGTGCAGAATCTAACATTTTGTTCTTTTTATATTTTAATTGATTTTTAACAAAACTGAGCTTCTGATCTGGGTACTGTTTAGGTTTCTTTAGCCAAGCCTCCTACATTTTTTATCTCTTTTCTTTTTAGATAGTCTTTTATTTAGGTCATGTCTCCTTCCTCCTATTGGTAGATGGGCAAGAAGTGATATAAACAGATCTACCTTTCTAATTGTACTTGTCTGCTGAATCTTAACTTGGAAGATTTGGTTTCCCCTCCATTAGTGGTCATTGGTGCCTTGAATAGTGATTATCAAAGGTATCCTAAGGTTACTTTGAGACAGAAAAGTAAAAGTTAACCTGAATATCTTGCTTGAAAAGTAACATTTGGTTAGCATCATTTAGTAAAAGAAAATGATGTTTCAGACATACTTTCACATTGTTTTCTTTAAATCAGAAATACTTTGTCTGCTTAATGACCTGTTCCAAAAAGGAGGAGACTCAACCCTCATGCCTTTGTTGATTTGTTATATCTGATTTTGTTTTAAGCTTGATCAGCAGTCTTCTGGTTTTAGGTAGATGTAGGTGTTCATTAATCCTAAAGATCCCAGTCTTGTTGAACATGGAAGCTGTAACACTTTAAGTGCTTTGGTTTTCAGAACATATTCAAGATTGTTGTTCTTCCCTGCATCCCCAAAATGGTCATTTCCTATTCGTTTAGGAAGTTGGGTGGTTTTTTTGTTGTTTAGCTTTTATTCATATTATTGGTCATTACAGAATATATTTCTGTTTTGCCACGTAATTTTCATAGATGTTTGGTTTGTTTTAATGCCACTTTTCTGGTGATAGTTTTTACACTTCATTGAATGAGTGATTTTTAGAATAGTTACCTGACTTAATACAAATAAATATATGAATTTATGAATTTATTTCTAAGATGGAAAGTGGCAGAACTACCCCTTCAAAATCTTCTAAGAACTGCGCATTGTAGTTCATACTCCTGTGTTCCAGGAACATTTGTTAGTAACGATCCCCTTCATTCTGGTGGAGGAGAGCCAAAGTAGGTTGGGAAAGAGGGGTCTCTCTTTTTGAAACTGGAAGGAAAAAAAAAAATTCTTTCTCTAATCGCTTTGTGGGATCCTTGCTGTCGCATACAATGCTGTTAATATGAAAACCTCTTCAAAGTTTCAGCAGACTTTTTAAACTTCAGGTCATTTCCCTACTTCAGTAGTTTAGTTCTTCGTAGGCTTTCAGGTTGTATGCTTATACATACATATTCAAACTTTATACTGTTTTTAAAGAGGTATTTTAAATTAGGATTATGTCTTATTTAATATGCAATAGGAAAAAAATCTGACTAAGTAACCAAATACTGGTTTAAATCATGATGTGCCTAAAGAGTATTCTACAGTAAGACGCTAAAAATGCTTTAAAACTGGTTAAGTGTTTTTTTTGGAGTTTTTCTTAATGCTGTGCAATCGAGATCTTTTATTTTTAGAAAGTTACTTAGTAGAGAAATTACTTGAAAAAAATCATACTTGTTCTGGATTTCCGTATGTGCACATCTGTTTTGTCTGAAGCCTCTCCAGACTGATCTTGCAGTTTTTTGGTGACTAGCAATTGCCTGAGAGACTCACTGTGCCCTGGGGCTAATGGGAGAGTACTTACACATCATTTTTGTAACCATAGTATTTTGGATGGAGCACCTTATTTCCTTGTTTCTTACGTGCTGATTTTCTTGTTGGTTTTACTTCTGTTTTGCAGTGAAGTGTTGTTTTTGTTCCTAGTTAAGTTCCTAGTAGTGACTTGCCCTCCCCCTTCATGCAGGTCATTGATTTGAATGTAAGTATTCAGGAGAAATGAAGACTAAAAAAACACCAATTTTTTTATGTGGGCCAGAAAAATTTCATTGCAAAATATGAAAGTATTTGCCAACATGAAACTGTGAGAGTAATGATACTGAGCTCCTAGCTGGCTTTCAGTTTTGCTTTTATTCTTTGCGCTAAATTTAGAGCTTATCTAAATTTGTTATCCATATTAAAGGTCTGATAAAACTTCATTTTGTCAGTAGTGCAGCTCCCATTTGTAGAATGGATTTCACATCCTGTTTGACAGAGTATTGCATCATTCTACTTCAGACCAGTTTTGTGACTTGCTTTCTCTTATTCTTCTTGAGTAATCTCCTCTTCCTTATGCTGGGAAAGAACTTATTAAAGATGTGCTAAGCCTTCTTACTGGTCAGCTTCTGAAGTGTTTCCCACACTAATACCAAGTTACAGGTAAAATAACCTGTTTCCATTAGGTCATCTTATTTGCTGATGTGGGTCCATCAGAAAGATAAAACTAAAATTGCCTAATTAAAATGATTAACTTTTTGCATTGTCGTAGTTGTATGCTGATATGAAGCAGTTCAGTATTTAAGCAGCACTATTGTTGAAGTGCTGAATATTTCTGCATTTGTTGTTCGTTGTGTAACCAATAAAGTACAAGACATTGTGTCTGTTACAAACTGTTTTGCAACATGTTTTCAGCAGTTTAGCTATTGGCTAATTGGTAATGCCAATGGAGTCAGCCTAGAAATTAATTTTGACTTGCAACATTAAGATTGGCCTTGGTAGGTTGTCTACATATTGAGCTTTCTGGTTCTACTCTGGTCCTCAACACAAGTGGCTCTGCAACATTTAGCAAGGTCCTAACTTCAGTGAAACCTTGAAAACCGTATCTAGATTTGATAGTATAGCACAGTATGGTCCAGGCACATAGTGGCATGAGCTAAGCTCCTTTTTAAAATGGACAGTTTGTAGGAGGTATTATCGAAAGAACGATTCAGAAAAGAGATAATTAATGGCTTGGCATATACTACCAAATACACCACTGTGTTTCTGGGAAGTGAAAAGCTGCTAGCTTTGTTTTGAGCAGGTAGATAGCTGTGATTCAATAGGAAAAAAATAAATAACTTTTTAAGAATTCTAAACTTAACATTAAAATTTTGACTAAACTGATATACCAAGTAAATTGTTTCCAAAATGTTGTGATTTAAAAAAAAAAGTTGCATAGAATATTTATTGTAAGCGTACCCTTTTCTGTAGGTCTAAATTGAATTGTCTGTGCAGTTGCATAGAACTTGCTCATGATTTTGAATGTAACCTTAGAATCACAGATAACAGCATGCTGAAAACAAGAGAATTTTTGTCAATTTATTTCCTGCCCCTGTTGATAGGAAACTTATTTTATAGGTTGAATGCAAATAGTGATATTTCGTAACTTATTTCTCCTGGTAGTTGATGGGAATGAAACAAAATAGATGGATGAGACAGGTGATCCTACTAGTGCCTGGTGTCTTGTGTACTCTGTTTACAAACTGAATGAAATACGTTCTCTGTAGCTAGTTTGTCTTGGACAAAGCATGATTGTCTTGGACAATCTTGGACTAAGTTAGATTGTCTTGGACAAAGTGGGTGAAAGTTCTCTAGAAGCTACAACCACTAGTCAGGTCCTCTCCCTAATCTAGTTGAATCAGCAGTTACTGAAGCAGAATGCTAGTTTCTGGCTGCCAGAAAACTTGTTTATGACTTAAGAGTGTAAATCAGTGATGAGTGCTGGTGCAACAACAGGCAATGTTTAGCTTATTGAGATATTAACTTTTTTGATAAGGATTCAGGAAAGTACTGATATGTGAAAATGCTTCTTAAACAGTTGTTCTTAAACATTTGTTAGATAAGAATTTGATTTACTTACCTTGGTCCTGTGAGAAGGAGTGAAGATACAGTATTTCACTTGAGCTATGGAAGTGTCATTACATGGACTTTATGCGATAGGCTGAAGTTTATCACAGGCGATTGGAAGGTTATATATTTTAGTGTGGTAATAATCTTGTGGTTTGCAGTTAACAAATATAGAATCGTGAGTAGGAGGCACCTTGAGAAATCATCTATTTAATGCCTGTGTTGTGGAGCAGGATCGTCCTAACATGATTCCTGATGAATGTCTGTCTAACCTGTTAGTGGCGTCCTGTTTTGGAGACTCCACAACCTGGCAGTCTGTTCTGGTCTTGAGCCACTCGTAAGGTTCAAAAGGTTTTTTTCCTTGCAATTTACTTGTTGGGATTTAAGCCTATAATTTCTTGGCTCCTTAACAGTAAATGTGTTGTTCCTTTTTTCTCTATAGCAACCTATTACATAGTTCATTGTGCCCCATTTTCTCTTAGGCTAAACAATCCCTGTTCATACAGTCTTTCATTATTCACATTTTTTGTGCTTATTCTCATTGTTTTTTCAACTTCCTCCAGTTTGTTAACAGATTTCTTGAAGCATAGTGTCCAAATTGGACATAGTACTCTGAGTAATTTTAAGCTTTACTACGTCTCCAATGTAAATGGTGGCTGATAGCGTGAACCATTGTTGGCTTTGAGTTGAGGAATCTACAGCAGTGGTAAATGACACCACTCTTGGGAATTGCAAAGTGTGGAACATTTTGATCCATTCTAACTTAAAGCAATAAATAAATAGATATAAAAGAGAAAAGGTAACATTTGATTATTAGCATTCTGTATGCTTGTCAGTTTCCTGGAACCATTATGTGTCTGCCTGAAATATCTTGTCAATGAGTTAATTGGTGGGCTGAAAATGATTTTTAAAACTACTATTAAAACCTCAATTTTTAAAAACTTAGAATATAAAAAGAAGTATATTCTAAAATGCAGTCCTCTAATTTTGAAAAACTAGTAAATGTTAGCTGGATTTGATTTTCTCTTATGAAGAGCTTATTTTGAATTTGTGCTACTTCTAGACAAGCATTTGATGATAAATTTATTTGGAATACTGTTTTGTTAGTTTTATTATTTCATCATCTAAAAAAAGCAACTGTAAAATGCAATGTATAGTATCTAAAATGGTTTTGAAAACTGGTTATTTGAAAGTATTGGTTAATCTTTTGCAACTCAGAACATTCATACTTTAATTTTATATTATTTGTCCTAGAAAATTATTGGAGTGTTCAAACCAAAATCTGAGGAGCCTTATGGACACCTAAATCCAAAATGGACCAAATATTTTCACAAAGTTTGCTGTCCTTGCTGCTTTGGCAGAGGCTGCCTCGTTCCAAATCAGGGATACCTCTCTGAAGCTGGTGCCTATCTTGTGGATGACAAGCTGGGGCTAGGAGTTGTTCCTAAAACTAAGGTAAAAGTTAAAATACATAAATTATTGAATGCAAAAAATATATAGTGACAGACTTGTCAGTCTCTGGACTGTAGTTGTGGAGATATGCTTATATATCATGTATTTTCCCTAAGTCATTTATAAACTATTGAGAGTCCAAAGGCAAGCAGTTTGGTGTAGAAAGGGTAAGCTTGCGATCTGAATTGAATCTCTTCTTTGGAACCACTTCAGTTTCTAGCATTTTCTGACACTTCTGTGCCTCATGTTTTGGTGAGATGCATCAGAATTGCAAAAAAGCAGCATATAAAGATTTCCACTTACGTCTCTTACCACATTTTTGTTTGAGATATATAAAGTAGCAAATATTCACCTTTTCATATAAAATTTGTCTGTTGGAAAAGCCCGATGCTTCCTTCTTGCTTTTTTGACAACTAAGCATAAAACTTACTGTAAATTTATAACTGAAATAATAAGGAATTCTGAGCTGTGTTTTTAACTTCCATATTTTAAGGTTGTCTGGCTTGTCAGTGAGACCTTTAATTACAGTGCAATAGATCGTGCAAAGTCAAGAGGAAAAAAATACGCTTTAGAGAAAGTGCCAAAAGTTGCTAAAAAATTTAATCGAATTGGACTACCTCCTAAGGTAAGATGAAAAGTAAGTGATTTGTGCATTTCCTGATTCTTATACAAAACTGAATTAAAAAAAAAAAGAGAATATTTATAGGTAACTTCAGCAGTAGAAGAAAAATCTTGTTAAAGACTATGTCTGAATGACTGAAGTTTGATAAATATGACTGTTTCTATGCAAAATCTATCCACTCTGTTGCATCATTTCTTCATTTGAACTACGTTGTTAATCTTGCCACTTTTTGTATCAGTCTGCAGTCTAGCTTTCTGCTGGAGGAGTAATATGTTAAAACACTGTACATCTGGTTTTTTATTTTTCTTGACTGTTTAGTACATTTCCCTTCAGTGTCAAGTTTTTATATTGTCTAATTGTTTCTCCCTTGCAATTTATCTAGTTCTTTCATTTTTCCTAAATATTCCCCCCCTCCCCCCCTTGTTTGTTTTATTCTTTTAGGTATTCTATAGTTATGTTCATCCTACCTTCCTTTCATCTTGTGTGCAGTACTCCACTGACTAAAACCTCATCTTTCTTGCCTAATGACCCTTATTGTATCCCTAAAATATCGTCACGGTGTTCTACTCCTAAACTTTTAAAACACAGGTTATGTACAGCTTGGGTAATCCACTTGTGTCAGTTCCCAGCAATTTTGATCGATGTGACATAAGTTATGCAAGCTTGTATCAGTATGGTTATTCCACATGCTATGTGTTTATCCATGTCTCTGCACGTGTGCATCTATCTGCATTTTACTTCTCGAATATAGGTCCTCTTTTGAATTTTAATCTTGGGCACCTTTACTGTTGCCCACACGTGGAGCCTATGCCATCTGTAATTTTCTTCCTTGGACTCTTTTGGGAAATGTATTTCAACCATTTTCATGCAAAAAGTGTGTCTTGAAAAAATAGTTAATGCTGCTGTTCTCATCAATGAAACATACAAGCTTTTCAGAGAGGAAGATTTTTCTCCTGTAATTTTTGGTGAGTTTCCTATGAACTATTGAACCAAATGTTTCCAGTGAAAAAGAGAATAGATGTTATTTCTTTCTCTTTGTTTCAAATGTTGCTTGTAATACTGCGTGTTTGTTTATGTTGAGCTGTCTGGCTACATCTTATCCCTGGTAAACTCAGTGAGTGCTTAAACAAATATTAAAAAAAAACAAACAAAAAACCACCAAAACTCCCTCATGATTTGAGTCTTACTTTTTTAGAATTTAGAAATGAAAGAGAAACCACTTAGTAATCTTTTTTTAAATGTCGTACTTCCTGTGTTCTGAACTTTGAAAATACGTAATCAGTTTTTCTGTTAATGTTAAGATGAGTTATGTGACCTACCCAAGTGCATTTTCCAAATGCAGTTTCTTAATGTTTCAGGTTGGCTCCTTCCAGCTGTTTGTCGAAGGATATAAGGAAGCTGACTACTGGCTCAGGAAGTTTGAAACTGATCCTTTACCTGAGAACACAAGGAAAGAATTTCAGTCACAGTTTGAAAGATTGGTTATCTTGGATTATGTCATCAGAAATACAGGTATTTGTTAGTGTCTCTCGGTATCTATCTACTTTTGTGAGGCAGAAATGGTAAGCAATGCTGGCTGAAAACTGCTGCTGAAGACTTTTAATGCATTTCAGATGCTTTTCTCACAATTGAAGGCCAGAATGTTGCATTTTAAACTTTAAAAAATTTACTCTGGATTCAAACATTAAATATTGCAATTGACAAAATCCAAACAACCCTTTTTGGCTGTTACTTGATATTTTTAAGCAATGTAAGAATTCAAGAACAAATACTTCCATTATGCTTTAATTCTGTCAGTAGGCTTTTAACTGTCTGTTTCTCCAGATTAGGATAAGGGACGGTGGGGTTTCAGGAACTGTAAGAAAAGCCATGACTACCATTCCTTTTATGCTAAGCTGGAGCCAATAACAGCACGGTTTTGCATCAGTGCAAGATAGTTCATATTCATTGTGACTAGGCACTGAAGTACAACTGTGATGTATATCTCTCAGTTCTCCTGCATTCTTGTTTCTTTCACTCAGAAGCTGGGATTCTTCTGTTGACTACATAGGTGGTTTATTTCCTCAAGAGTCCAAAGGCAGTTTTATATTTAAAATACTTCCTCTGCTGCTTTGTCAGAGGTGGGCATCTTTACCCTTCTTCAGACATACCAGCTGTAGTTCATTTTCCTTTTCTTAAATTCACTCAGTAGAAAGGAATCCAGCTGAAAATAAGTTACTCTAACCTGTGGCTTTTTAGAAGCAAACTAAAAGAAGAAAGTTTCATAAGAATGTAATACTTTCTAGCTGCTGCTATGGTTTGTCAGCTTTATCAAATAGATCTCAGTGTTTCCAAACAACTACTATGTCCTGTGATGTTCTTAAAATTGTAAGGAAAATACTCAAAATGCAAAACCTCATTATGTGGGTGATTTTACCTTCGTCTAATATATCTCATCATGATGGAACATGAAAATCTTCTGATGGATGTTTAACTAAACTTAAGGGAGCACCTTAAGATGACAGCAAAATCCATGCAATCATCCTCTATCTGAAAGACCTTGTCAAAAAGTCTTCAATGTCTCAATTTTGTCTGAACAGTGCAGACCTTTTTCAGCTTCTGAAAGGCTCTTCAGTTTTTTCCTTCCTCCATCTTTGAAGAGTCTGTTTTCTTCATGTAGTCAAACATCACACTATCTGTAATTTTGGAGAGCCTCTTCCTTTACCCATCAGCATTAAAACAAGCTTAAAAATTAAGTCATTGTGGTTGCTGCTGCTGACAGTCTTTTCCCAAGGAAAAGTGCACGCTACAGCCAATCTTTCTGCATAAAATTGATGAAAATAGTTTCTCTTAGCTTTCTTGATATTTTGCTGTATATTCAGCCAGTTGGGGAAACTAAAGCAGTAGTGCATACCTAAGAACATTTGGTAAATGTTTGGTCTTTCCAGTAAATCAGTTGCCTCAAACATTTCAGTAAAGCTAAAACACATGTATTGAGATTAGAAGAAACTTTTTGAACAGTTTTGCCTGACTCCTATGTTAAATTCTCTTAGTTGTTGTATATTACTTTAGATGATGATTTCTTTATAAATGACGTGTTGTAACATGCATTTTCCTATTTAAAGACAGAGGTAATGACAACTGGTTAGTCAGGTATGAAAAAAAAGATGATGGACTTGATCTGTCAGATAAGGTAAGAAAATTGTACTCTGAAACTTAAATTCTTTAAATTGTTTAGTTTTATAACTTGGTCTTGCAGGGGATTAAGTGCATGGCCTTAATCCTGGTGCATGGTCTCGAGAAATATGATAACTGCAAATTATTTTAGGCGAAATAAATGGAAAAGCTATTTGGATTAGACTAGTCTGGATAGAACTTTTAATGTTCTGTATTTTTTCTTGGGCTATAATAATAATAAAACTGCCCGCTGTTGCTCAAGCACATTTCTTCAGCTATTTATGTGCTCTGCTTATCTTGTATTTGGAGGAAGGGCTCCTTTTTAATGGTGGTAAAGTAAGAATTATATGTGCTGGAGTTTATTTGGATACTCCTTTATATTGTTTAAGTTGACTTTAAGCAGTGAAGCTAAAAAGTATATTATTTAGTATTTTTAATGTATTTCACTATTTTTGTAAGCACATAGCTATCACTTATTTTTGAAATATTCCTCCCTTAGGATAGCCAATGGACTATAACTAAAGAGTCTACTATTAAAATTGCTGCAATTGACAATGGTTTAGCATTTCCTTTTAAGCATCCTGATGAGTGGAGGGCATGTAAGTATTGCATTCTTCATTCATCTTCCTTTTGGGAGAGTAACTTCTAAATAAGTATTTTTTTGTTTGGGTTGTTGTAGTAAGAAACCAAGAAATCATCACTGTAGTTATATATTGAATTTTTAAATGACGTACTTTTCTTCAGAAAGTTAGCAAAAATGCCATTTTTGCAATGGCATATGTGATTTAGTCCTTGTTCATATTTTTTACCCTTATACCTTTAAACAATATTAATACATGGATATTCATAAACATACTACTGTATGTAAAGTGACCGATGGTGGAATTGGAAAAATTTAGCAACACAATTCTCGTGTGTGTTTTCTTGAAAACCATGGTGGAAAGTTACTTGAGTGCAAGGATATGCAAGTTGTCCTCTAATGGCCAAATTTCTATTTCAAAACAAAGGGTACTGTTGTAGGTGAACAGGTAGACAAGTTACATGTTATTTTTACCTGTTCTCAGCTTTAGCTTACTTTGTAGAAGTTAATCTTTAGTTAGTATTTTTGAGCAGACTGAAAATTGATATTACTGTTAAAGCTAGATTGCTTCTGACCACATCTCTGACTACTTATAGTTTAGAGGGAAGTGCTCAACAGGGTTTACAATTACATCTGTGGACTATTAGCCAATTAGGTAGTTATGACAGTTAGCATGGGCTAGTTTTGCTGTGAAAAGGCTAGTTAATTACCCTACTCAGAGCTCCGTACAGTCCCAGACATCTTGATACTCAGTAGTTACTGTCCTACATATCTCTTGGCAACAGTCACTTCTGCAGCTGTTCTAGAGACATGGCAATTATTGCTTATTGTAGACCATCTTTTACTTCAACACCCAAAGTAATAAACTTGGATGATCCTTTAGAATTCTCTTGCAGTTGGACAAGTGTGTGACAATTCTGTAATGGTAAACTTGTAGCATGTTGTTGTTTAAAATCACAGGCTCTTGAGGGGTAGAGCATGTTGTCTTGATAACTAGAGATGGTTGATCGTCAAGGATAACCTCCTCAAAGCCAGAGAACAGCCTAGCCAAAAGGCAGGAAGTTGGTCCAGCATGGATGAACAGGGAACTCCTGACTGAACTGGGACACAAAAATTAAATACATTTAAAAAAAAAAAAAAAAAAAAGATGTAGAGACTCCACTTTGTCCAAAAGTGCAAGAATGGAGTCTGGAAAGTCAAAGCTCAGCTGGCGTAAAGCTAGCAGAGGATATCAAGGGCAACAAGAAAGGGTTAAGTAAATGAGAAGTGAGAGTGGGACTGAAGAAAAGTGCAGCAAGGACCTAAAGGCAAAAGGCATAAGAAAGAACAAGTTATTCAGTGCTGACTTTGCCTCAGTTTTCACTTGTAAGATTTGCTCTCAGGTTTTTAGGTCTCAGAGCTCATAAGCAGAGCTTCTGGGAATGAATCATTATCCAAAGCAGAAGAAAGGGAGCACTTAAGCAAAATGGACAATGGTTCATAGGAGTAGATGAGATGCATTGGAAACATGATGGGAGCTGGCTGATGTCGTTGTGAGGCTTTTTTCTCATCGCTCTTGAAAGACTGTAGTAATGTGGGAGGTTGCTGATGACTAGAAAAAGGTATCGCATCCATCTTCAAGAAGGGCAAGATGCAGGGTACAAGGAATGATGGGGTAGCCTAACCTCAGTCCCCGTGAAGGTTGTGGAATGAATCCTCCTGGAAGCCATGTTCAAGCACATGAAGAACAAGAAGGTGATGGGGAAGCCAGCATGGATTTACCAAGGGCAAACTATGCTTAACTGACTAGACAGCTTTTAGTGATAAGATGACTGGTTCAGTGGATTGAGGGGAGGGCAGCTGATTTTCCTTGACTTCTGCGAGGCCTACTGCATGGTCTCTCATAGTATTCTTGTAGTCAAACGTGAGATACGAACTGGACAAACAGGCTGTGAGGTGGGTGGAAAACTGGCTGGACTGTCAGACTCAAAGGGCTGTGAGCAGTGTCAGGAAGTTCAGTGGGTGGCCTGCTACTAGTGATGTTCCTCAGTTCCTGCAACTGAGACTGTTTGGTGTCGTTTAACATCTGGTACTAGTAATTAGTCTTACAATATCTCTTGAAACAGCTGTTTAATAGCAATTATGTGAAAAGTTAATGTTTTTCTAAGCATGCTTAGAAGAAGGCATTTTAATAAACAAAAATTTTTATTAAAAAATAGTAGCTACTTTTTTGTTAATGCTTCAGTACAGGTCAAACATCTGAAAGATTTCTATTTGATTGCAGCCATTCTTTTACTCCAAAGGAAACTGCATTACTAAACTAGAAGGCCTCTATTGTTGCTTAGAGTATTTAATTTATATACCTTTTTTACTTTTTGCTTCAGCTAAATATTTATTACTTAAAATATATTTTTACTGTTTGTAAAAAAGGTGAAGTAGCTGTAAAGCTGCTTTTGTAACTGTAGCCAAGAGAGGTATATGGGGTAACAACGTTGTGAAAATAGTATGTTACTGAGAACTTCCAGTAGGCAGCAGAGTACTGTATCAATGGTAAGCACTTGAGAATTCCATTTTTGCCTGTTGTTAATCATGAAGTGTGCTGTTTTTCCGCATTAGATCCCTTCCACTGGGCTTGGCTTTCTCAAGCAAAAGTTCCTTTCTCTCAGGAGACCAGAGACTTAGTTCTTCCTCGCATTTCTGATATGAACTTCGTACAGGATCTTTGTGAAGATCTTTATGAACTATTTAAGGTGAATCGAGTGCTTCTTTGAATTGAGCATTACTGAAATAGCTAATACCTGTAATGGAACAGTTAAATTCATGAAAAGAAAAACCATCTAACTTCTGTATGTTGTGATACTGTGCTATTTTAGCTTTAACATTGGCATGGTAGGAAGGGTTGATATAATTAAGAGGAAACTGTGTCACTAATGTGGCTAATTGATAGTAATCAGCTCATCTGAAAACATAATTACCTTTTATATATCCAAGTTTTACATTATCAATTAAAGCTAGTTAACTTTTATATATATATATGGAAAAACGCCATTTAACATACCTGTGTGGTGTGTATACACAAGATAAACTGTAGCAACCTAAGGAGATCGTGTATTTAATGTAACTTAAAGTACCTGCATACCTTTCATGTACTTAATTTTACATATATATTGTGTGTGAAGTTGATGCTGAAATCTTGGCCATGTTTAAAGTAAGTCAAACTTACTTAAAGATACTGAAACTGTGCTACAATATTGACATGTAGAGAAGTGTCCTTCTCTGAAACATTCCACAAACAATTGTGTCAGATGTTCAAGTGAAATAATCCAAATGATCAGGATGGAAAGAAATGGAAATTTTAAACTTTTAATGAAAATGCAGCTGTAACATCAAAACTAGATCCTGAAACACATTCGCAATATTTGCGTCTTTGACTCAGTTGTATTCAAAGTGACTCTGGGTTGTCTGTTAAACCCAGTGGAAGTTGAAATATTTAATAAATCTGAAGGAGGAAGTATTCTTTTGCCAGAGTAAAGGTGAAAGACAGAGCAGTGCAACATTATGTGATGGTATTAGGCCTACCTACCAATGCCCTGAAGTAGTATCCACTGATGTATTTTACTTTTGTGATGTGGAACATCCTTCACTTTCACATATCTATACTTGCTGCAATAAACAGACCTTTTTGTTGGTCATACCATGACTATTTGAAGCTTCCAAAAATTATTATGATGTTGGTAAATATGACTGTGTGTTATGAAATTGATGGATTTGCATGCTAAATATATAGCTAAAAATAAATGGGTCATTTCTTATAATAACTCTTTGTTTTCTTTATTAAAGACTGATAAAGGATTTGACAAGGCTACTTTTGAAAACCAAATGTCCGTTATGAGGGGGCAGGTAAGACTGCTTTTTTAATGTTTTTATTTATGTATTTAATTTGTCATCACTTCTTGGCTGTTTTTAGAGCTACAGAAACTGACTCCTATTAAATTGAAAGACACTGAAGGTGTTTTCGTCTGGGAAGACTAAATTTCTTTCTGGAGTTTGTTCTTATTTGCATATAAATGAGACAGCAGAAAGTGTATATTGATTTTTTTTTTAATTATCTTTATAGAAGATGATTTTCTTAAATAATTGGGTTTTATTGTTCTTGTGGGGGTTAGGGGAGGACTTAATACCTATATATTCTTAGAAGGTATTTTAAAAATGAAACACTGGAGAGTCATAAACTTGGATGGAAAATTTGGTGGGAAATTTTGTTATGTTATTAAAATAAATGTGACTATTTTGGAGGGTTAACTTGATTATTGAAATACCTTTCACAAGAAGGCAATATTAGGCAATAATTTCTTCATCCTAGCAAATGTCAGAACCATACTTGGAACCAGTCCAGCTGTTTTCAGATTAGAAATTTGATGATGATTAAGTTTTGAGGTTTTTAAACAAGAGAGGAGAAGGGCTTTTCTGTCTTCTTGCTGTTTTAAAATTTAAGACTGGTGTGATATACTGGAAAACAAGCTTTAGCTAAGAACAAATTTAGTTCTTTGTAGGCATGTGATTTGTGAAAATGTAAGGGAATTGGACTAGATAAATTAGTAGTCCCATTTGCCCTGAATTTATTGAAACTGACTTCTCTGTGTTCATAAATTCAACATGGATAGTTTAAAGCCAGACATTCACAATTCCTAGAGCAGGTTGGTCCGACCTTTTCTCTGTAGAGTTTCCTATATCAAGAAGTACCTTGCAGAAGACTGCAGCTCTGCTTAGTCAAACATAATCCCAGTTAACATTAGTTACGTGTGGTGGCTAAAAGCCAGCAAGCCTTACTTATTAAATTGAATTATAGGAGTTATTTCTGAAATAACTTTTCTGAGAAGTTTGTGCAGTCACTGGAAGGTCACTTCTGAAGTACTCATCCATCTTAAACTGTGTTAAGTAGCTTTTTTGTGATGAGACAATTGACTACAGGGAATCTGTTATTTAACAAAAAGCTTAAGGAAAAAACCTGATCTCTATAACTGAGAGAGATCTAGCTAAGGTTGTCTAAATTAATTTCCCACTCTAAAGGCTGCATCTGCACGCTTTCTTTGCACCCTTTCCCTGAGGTGGATTTCAGCAGAGATTTTTTTAACTTTTTTTTTTTTAAATCTTTCTCCAGCTGTACAAGAATGTGTTTCACTGTGGGTGATGTCAGGTTTTCAGGCATGGATTTAGGGAAGAAATGCAGATAATGAGTTATTCTTGGATGTGATTAGAAATACGTCAGCAAATGATGCCTTTTAGCACTGATTTTAGAGTTGCTTTTGGTGTAAAACCAAATTATGTTACAAGGGCATTATAGAAGAGTTGGATATCTAGATCACATATAATGGATTCATTAAGATGAATTTGCAGGATAGCCAAAACATCTGTAAATACATCCTTAAAAATGAAAATTTTAAGAATTAGAAAATGAAGAATCTAGTTGATAAAGATAAGGAGGCTGAAGAGAAATATATCTTGCACGTAAGGGGCGAGATCTTTAAATCTAAGGTACCAAAAGTAGTTAGCAGCATATCTTTGTGAAGAGGGGGAAAAATACGTTGGGAAGGGTTTCAAACCCAAGATAAACAGTTCTCTCAAGAATATAGAGACTAAGCAGCCAGGTAACACAGATCTACAAAGGATTGCCTTAGAACTTAGAAAACGTAAATGTCAGGTGGAGCTGCCGGAAGAGCCAAATTGCAGTAAACCATGCAAAGGACTCTATCTGTCAGGGTCTTCAGCCATGAAAGTGCAGAATGAGCAGGGGATCAGTAAGTCGCACAAAGAAGAAAGGGGTGTTGTGCAGGGGGAAAAAAAGGCTTGATATTAAGGATAATGCAAG